CTACGCACACGCAAGATCATGGTGATGCATAGCAACGAGTGGGGAGAGTGTGTCCACGTATCCTCGTAGACCGAAAGCGGAAGCGTTAGCACAACGCGGTTGATGTAGTCATATGTCTTCACGATCTGACCGATCAAGTATCGAACGCACGTCACCTCCGAGTTCTCGACACGTTCAAGTCGATGACGTCCCTCGAACTCCGATCCAGCCGAGTGTTGAGGGAGAGTTTCGTCAGCACGACGGTGTGGTGATGATGATGATGTTCTACCGACGCAGGGCTTCGCCTAAGCACCGCTACGATATGATCGAGGTGGATTATGGTGGAGGGGGGCACTGCACACGGCTAAGAGATCAAGAGATCAATTGTTGTGTCTATGGGGTGCCCCCTCCTCCGTATACAAAGGGGGGAGGAGGAGAGGGCCGGCCAAGGGGGTGGCGCGCCCTAGGAGGGAGAAACCTACTCCAAGTAGGTTTGCCCCTCCCTTTCCTAATCTAAGAAGGAGAGGAAAGGAAGGAGTGGGAGAGGGGAAAGGCAAGGGGGGCGCCGCCCCCCTTTCTTTGTCCTATTCGGACTCAAGGGGAGGGGGCGCGCCTCTTGCCCTGGCCAGCCCCTCTCTCTCTCCACTAAGGCCCAACAAGGCCCATTAGTTCCCGGGGGGTTCTGGTAACCCCAATACTCCGATAAATGTCTGAAACCTTCCGGAACCTTTCCGATGTCCAAACATAGTCGTCCAATATATCGATCTTTACGTCTCGACCATTTCGAGACTCCTTGTCATGTCCGTGATCACATCTGGGACTCCGAACTACCTTCGGTACATCAAAACATATAAACTCATAATATAACTGTCATCTAACTTTAAGCGTGCGGACCCTATGGGTTCGAGAACTATGTAGACATGACTGAGACACGTCTCCGGTCAATAACCAATAGCGGAACCTGGATGCTCATATTGGCTCCTACATATTCTACGAAGATCTTTATCGGTCAAACCGCATAACAACATACGATGTTCCCTTTGTCATCGGTATGTTACTTGCCCGAGATTCGATCGTCGGTATCTCAATACCTAGTTCAATCTCGTTACCGGCAAGTCCCTTTACTCGTTCCGTAATATATCATCCCGCAACTAACTCATTAGTTGCATTGCTTGCAAGGCTTATAGTGATGTGCATTACCGAGTGGGCCCAGAGATACCTCTCCGACAATCGGAGTGACAAATCCTAATCTCGAAATATGCCAACCCAACAAGTACCTTTGGAGACACCTGTAGAGCACCTTTATAATCACCCAGTTACGTTGTGTTGTTTGGTAGCACACAAAGTGTTCCTCCGGTAAACGGGAGTTGCATAATCTCATAGTCATAGGAACATGTATAAGTCATGAAGAAAGCAATAGCAACAAACTAAACGATCAAGTGCTAAGCTAACGGAATGGGTCAAGTCAATCACATCATTCTCCTAATGATGTGATCCCGTTAATCAAATAACAACTCTTTGTCTATGGCTAGGAAACATAACCATCTTTGATTAACGAGCTAGTCAAGTAGAGGCATACTAGTGACACTCTGTTTGTCTATGTATTCATACATGTATCATGTTTCCGTTTAATACAATTCTAGCATGAATAAAAAACATTTATCATGATATAAGGAAATAAAAATTAACTTTATTATTGCCTCTAGGGCATATTTCCTTCAAATAGTGCGGGATCCCTATACTCAAGAGCAAACATAAAGAGCCTAAGCTAGTAGTCTTGTTTCTTCGTTTTTGAGTAATATATGTATGTTCTATAGTCATGATCCACACACACGATCCTGAGGGGACTAAACCTGAGATATACTTGACAAACATTGTTAGTCCCCTATGTGTATATTGTCATCAACATCAAAATACAATTAAGGGCATGATTGCACTTTCAGCGCACCCTATTGAGATACAAGTTCCCTCACTCCCTCTAGTTCTCAAGAAAATTGTGAATGCCACAAGAATGCTCCTCCCTCCTCTTCTACTCTGATATTGTCAAGCTCTGGACAGTGAAGCTAGCACTGCTGGATCCCTAGTGTCGTATGTGTGCAATCTACAGAGGGATCATGCATTCGATTCTTATTTTGAGGGAATTGTTCGTGTTTGAGGGACTTCAAGAATGATCTTCACCCATTCTTCTTTCGATGCAACTCATTGTTGGTAAAGATCAGATCTAAGCTTGTATGTACATCTTCATAGTGATCCTGTGTAGGATGTTTTTTTTGTTTTCTACTATGATTCCGAACACTTCTTTCCCACCGGTTTGGGAGTTGTTCATACATATTTCTACCACTCTTCTGAACCACAAACCATCTCCCCCAAACCCTTATCGCCCCTATATGTTAAGGGGTAATTGTGGATGGATCTTGAAGCCTATTGTTGATCTCCTCCATTGTTTCCCTTTTCTTCTATCTCCTACTTTCTTGAGTTGCATCTTGTGAGATTGGGAGACTAGTGACTAGTGACGTGTGGAACCTTCCCATGCCACTAACTCTAGTTGGTTGGCCGGATAGTTGAGTCCAATCAACTACCGACGTATGAGCACCGCCCGTGCCACTAGTATTTTACCATCATCCACGAGTACACGAACGTCGTTGATATTTTGAAAAGAGCAGTTCTAGGCAGACGACAAAAGTTGGACGACCAACACACGACGATGAAACCCAGCTAGCGAATCTCATCCATAGCCATGCAACGTCCGTTGGATTGTTGTTCGTGCATAGATCGGCCACGTTGTGTCGTGTGTGGAGAAATTCTGTTTTGAAAAACTATCAGCAACATTCTAGATTTTGAAGGTGCCACTAATTATCTATTTCTATAAGGGTTTTCCTACCAATGGCTTACCTGAGTTTTGGCCATCGGCGCCCGCATCGGACGTTCACACAACCCTTTGTACCTTCGGCATCCTCTCTCCCTTATCTCATTGTCTCTGACGGCCACCTCACCCCGTAGAGCTGCCAATGAGTCGAGTTCAAGTGAGTTGGACTAGGCTCACATCAATTTATGCTAAAGTTTGAGCAAGCACAAACTGAGCAAAGCTCAAGATCGAGTTGTATAGAAAGTAACTTATGATTAGCTTGTAACGACCTCGAGTCTATCTAGATAGTTTTGAGCTAAATAAGATGTTTTTCTTTATAATCTAAGCCAACTTTTCCAACAAGATAGAACACAACACAACATAAAAAACAATTATAAAATATGACGTATTCTCTGCCAACTGAAAACTAGTACTTAATAGCAAGATATCATGGATGAACTAGAATGGGAAGAAAATGAAGGTGCATCTGCTCTCAAACTTTGGTAAAAAAATAACAAGATATTTACACATATTGAGGCTGATTTGTCTTCATGCTTAATTAAGCTTCCATGCTTTCTAGTGATAAAATGGAGAAAAATCATACACAATATATATGGCAATAAATTATCCTATTTTCTTTTAATACATATCAAGATTATTTTATGTAATTACATGATATCGAGCAAAAATCGAGGGAGCCAGTGTTGGCTCAAGATCGACTACTTTCTCGATCAAGCTAAATAAAGTGCTCATACACAACTCATTTATATTCGAGTCCATCTTGAGTAGAGCAAAAGTACGAGTCAATCTCAAAGGCTCGTGAGCATTGAGCTTTTCTTGCAGTCCTAGCCGCGCAACCGTTGAATGAAGCTTCGCCTCAAACAACCGCAATCGCGTCCCTCTTCTCCTTTTCATGCAAGTTTGTTAGTGAAACCCTAACAGAGTCAAGAAAAATGTGGGAGGTGGTTGTGGGGCATGCTTAAAAAACTGCATGTGCCGCCCAATATGCGATGTGTCCAAGCGCCAAAGTGCTATGCAAAGAAAGCGCACAACGCCTTTTAGCATTTGGGGCAATACAAATGCCCTTTCGTAAAAAGAAGGAAACCAGAAACAAGTTCAATTGGTACGCAAGAAAACAATGCAAAGGTAAAAAAAAAGGAGCGCTATTGAATTCAGCTTCGCGTCGGACAACCGCGATTGCGCCCTGACCTTCCTGTTCCCCCACTCGCTTGCGTCGTTTTCCTTCCCTGTTCTCCTTTTCATGCAAGTTCGTCAATGAAACCCTAGCAGAGTCGAGAAAAATGCGGGAGATGATTGTGGGGCACTCTTAAAAAAACTGTCTGTGCCGTCCAATAGTGCGATGTGTCCAAGCGCCCGAGTGTGTTGTGCAAAGAAAGTGCATAACGCATTTTAGCATTTGGGGCAATACAAATGCCCTTTCATAAAAAAGAAGAAAACCGAAAACAAGTTCAATTGATACACAAGAAAACAATGCAAAAGGTTTTGAAAAAAAGGTAGCGCCGTTGCCGGGGATCGAACCCGGGTCACCCGCGTGACAGGCGGGAATACTTACCACTATACTACAACGACTTCGGTGATTACACATTTTTGGGGCCTTATAATTAGCTTATAGTTACTAGCTAACAGTGCACAGTTGCCCGTAGCATGAGGAACGTGCAGCTTTCAGTTCCTAATGCGACCCGACGTATGATCAGCTCGCCTCGAATAGCGGAGCTAAAAGAATCTACCCAACTGTATGTATTTCTCGAGATCGTTTTCTTGCACATGCTGAGGTTTTCGAGCCAGCAGTAGAGCCGGCGGCACTGGAGAGCCTCGTTGGCCAGCTGATCGCCGGTGACTACCCTGGTAAGCATTGTAATCCGACAGGGGAAATGCGAGGGATACAATGAAGACTGACATGTGATGACCCACTCATAACTGAATAAGCAACGCTAACCGTTGCCAGATCTTATGAGGGGGAAAAGCGCGACGAATCGAAAGAGTTGTTCTGTTGCTGTCAGAGTTGTGTCTTTCAACCGTGGAGGTGCTGTACATCACAAAAATTTGAAGCTAAAAACTGAAAAGAGAAATGGAAAGAAGAAGAACATTTTATACACGGCGACGTGAACTAATCTGGGATGATTGGAGATCAGGGCGTCAGACTGTATTCGCTATCTTAGAGTTCATTGCTCAGGCCCAGCTCGTCGTCCATGTCGTCTCCCTCCTCGAAGAGCTTGAGAAATCGTAACTGATCCCGCTCCCTCTTCTTTTTCAGCCAGTACTTGTAGGCTCCGAACAAGGCGAGGACGACGATAATGGAAGCGAGAACGCTTACTATTATGGTAACAGCAACAGATGTCTTTTTGGCTTCCACCTCTGAGCTAGAGTGATGGGCTGCAGCATCACCTGACAATGGTAGAGAAACAAAAATCTTTGAGCAATAGCCATGTAGACCTCAAACACATAAAGCATATCGTTAACAATCTATCAATTCAACAGAGCAAACTCGACATCAAATATGCTGCAATGTTGTTACCATGATAAGAAAAAAGCAACCACAAATCATATAAAGGAAGTTTTGAAGAACAGAAACTAGAGGTACTGAATATGAGCCGTACCAACAGAGACAGTACAGTTTGGGCACAGGAAGGTCGCATTGAACTGCCCTTCCTTGAAGTGTGTGTACTTGCCATCTTTGAAGTCACTAGAACACAGCTCCCATTCATCAAACACATCATTTCTAAACATATCCTGTTCGTACAAACCACATCGCTTGCACTTCTTTTCTGGAAGTTCCGTTAAGGGCTGCACAACATGATGTAGTAAGGAATTCAGTGCTTAGTAAAGAAGATAAACGCAAACACCACAATTACTGAAAACCAGTATCAGGTGTGAACCAAATGAGAGGAAGCCACCAATATCTTAAGTAAAAGTTAGACTGACCTGCCATGATTCTCCACCCTTAAAGGTATATATCAAATTTGCCTCCTTCACGTCAGGCAAATATGTCTGGTTATCTCCACTGCAGCGGAAAAACACAGTTGGTCTGGAGAACCATTCATGAGTGGTAAATATATCAATGGTATCAAGTGTGACAAGCCTCGAAGAAAAAGCCCCTGCAAATTATGCATAATCAGTCGTGCACAAAGAATTATTAACGGCAATAGAAGAAATATTATCAAATATTATATCCTGTTCAACTACATACACGAGAACACAAAAAATGCAACAGAGAAAGCATACATGAATTTTAGTTCTATGCATTCCCACTTCAGCAAGGGTATACTCATAATTCATATGGTATTTCCCCTACAATTTTTTCTCAACTCGAATCACACAAGGATTACTATCCAGTATTCAATGTAAGAAGTACAAGGCTTTGACTATGCTCTTTTCTTTCTTTACCTTTATGTTTTTCTAAAGCTTATTCAGTAGGTTACTAACATGAGTATGCTATGTAATACAGTAGCAGAGACAGTCTAATCAATCAATCAATCAATACCTCTTTTCTATGATATTTGTGTTAGTCTAATGCGCAACTTGAGATATTATCATACTGAGAATACAATCTATTACTCAAGTTACTGGCACAATAGAAACTCACCCCAAGTCTTATACTCAACACACCAGCCACTGCTTCACATGGTCAAACACAGCACATTTTTATACCATAGGCAGTGAGAACATACCCAGTCCTTCCTCCTCATAAAGCACACCCATGCTACCAATATGAGAAGCACCACTAGAAAGTGATAAGAACCCATTTCAAAGGAAAAAAAAGGTCATAAGAAAACTATGTTAACAAGGTTCAACTACGATGCCACAAAGTTACAAGAAACAAAATAGATACACACATGAAGAAACAAAAATGAGAAATTCTGCTGTTAATATTAATAATGCACAAAACTATTTTCACCTCTGAATTTGAATTGGCTACTACCAGAGCAGAATTTGTCATTCTTGTTTCTCGGCGTGTGGATCAAATTGTGTGGCATCATAGATGAATCTTGTATCGAATCGATGTTCTCATTTTTCACCAGACGTCCAGACCTTTTCATGTTTTTTGGTGGTAGAACGGAACCACTGTAAGGTAAGGAAGCACCAGATATCCCCTCAACAGGATGTAACCCAGTTTAATTAGAAAGCACGGTCAAGAACTGCTCCGAGTACATATTGATCCCTATCTAAAAAGACACCCTCAGCTGAACAACTACCACCAGCTCCAACAAATGTTCAACAACCGGAGCATGAGATTTTATTTCTAGTAACAATCCTCGTTTCTACAGATAGAAAACTAGTGATAATCCTACTTTCACTAGACTAATGTGCTCACATAACTCCATAGCAGAGTTGCCAAGAATATGGAAATGGCACAGAATATGATGGTTTGACTTATGATTTGCATTGAGTTATACTGATAGAAAACAAACTAATTATGAAGCCTAACCAAATATTTTTTCATGGTGGAACCGAAACGGGGCCACGCTAAGGATTGCTGGACTAGGACAATCCAAATCAAACCAGCAGAACATCCAAATAGTATTATTTGTCATAACACTTGCTTTCAAGGCTCTATAAATCACTACTGCCCTCTCCCGCACGACATCGCCAATAGAAGTCAAGTTGATGAACTGGTAAGCGCTTAGATTGCAGCCAACTTGTTCAGCAAGCCGCCAACGCATTCGAATAATACATACAGATTAAAAATGGGCTGTTTCCTATGGAAGCAACCACTCTCCACGGACAAAATAGGGTAAACTGCCCGTAAAAAAAAAGGTAAACTAGATTCGGTCAAATGTCCACGCGGAAAGATTGACTGCTTAAATCCGAAGAAAAAAGCAGTATTGGGAGAGGTAAGAGCCGGATCTCACCAGGAATCGAGCAGAGGGCGACGAATTGGACGACGAGAAGGAGGCGGCCAGGCGAGATCGGCGGCCGCCAACTCATGCTACGGCTGCGGTGAGCGCTGCGGATCGCCGGTGAAGAATCAGAGTCTCGGACGCAGCTCCCCTAGCGTCTGGCCGCCGTAGGCAGGCAGGTGCTCGCTGCGTCGCTCTTCTTCTTCCTTTTCTTCTTCTTCGCCGTCGAAGTCCCGGAGAGAGAGAGGACAGACCTTTCTCCCGTGGCCACGCGTAAACCCACTACCTTTTCTTTGGAACAGGGAAATGACTCTAAGCCCCTGCTTGGAATCGGTGTATTTCTGTACACCTGTATTTGTTTTACAAGTGTATCTTACCGGCCGTGTGCAAATTCTATCTGAGAATCAAAACGGCGGATCGTGGTCTGCATATTTTACAGGGATAAAAACGCTGGAAACGACAATCCAATTAAGGCCTAAGTATCAATAGGATGAAAGATGCAATATAAACGAATGTGCTCATGTGAGCCCAAGCTGCAGTGATCCCGAAATCTGTACCACTACTTCATCTCGCGATCGATGCAACCAGAGGTACTGGTACAGGCATAAGGCCCACAAGTCAAATGCCGTTCAATTAACCCCGTCACGTATCGTTATGACGGGACAGAAGGAGATACACGATGTGGGCCGTCTCAGCCAAGATTCTGGTCTAATATGGACCGGCAAACCCATTTACTACAAACCACCGTTGGACCTACCAATCTTCCTAGCCTCAAAAAAGAAAAACTACCAATCTTTCTCTGGACGGCTCCGCTCTCTTCTTATTCTTCAAGATTCAACCCACCCCCTCGTAGACCAGTGTTTGAATCAACTCGAATTAGTCCCAGAAATTCGTTCCACAACATGTCTGCATTAACTAGCCCAACTATTCAGCAAGCAAACAATGACATGCAGCGGTATTTGGTTTCTGAAAGCACATGTCAAAAGTTCTCTGATATAAAACATACTCCCTCCGTTCCAAATTACTCGTCGCGAAAATGGATGTATCTTCGCGACGAGTAATTTGGAACGGAGGGAGTATATGGCAGCACCTCAAAACCTGGGATCAAAGTTCATCTAGACACACAACATATCTACTCATCTACCAGATATAATACAGTAATTACCATGAAACATGAGATCAACCCCACCTGAACATCACATTTCTTGAATATAGACAGTGAATCAAACACTAATAATTCGGAAACAGGGTATCATCACCACCTGAAGATCACTACCATACATGTAGTCATCCTAAAGAAACCATTGTTTTTCTCGTTAAAGAACGACAGCATCAGCAACAGCAAGCAATATTTTTAAGTCTGAAAATGTCCTATCTAGCATGCTAGAACTGAAACTATTCTTTTGGTACTCTGCTAACACACATGTTATGTTCATCTAGGCTCAAGATTTTGTTTTTACAGGAACCAGACAACTTAGTATCATCTGTCTAACATAGTTCTACAACCAGAAAACTTGATCACTCGCATCAATTATTTGAGTCCTAGTTCAGCTGCTATGTGACAGTTGTTCCTGCGGCGACCTTCAACACCACAGTTTTTTGCATCTGGCTGGCTTACGAGGCTGCTTTGGAACATCTGCCTGATCAGGGCAGGTTGTTCGTTTGTGCCCTTGCCTCCGACTTATATTGCAGAATTTTGTGCGCTACTTAAACCTTCATAGGGCGCCTTCTCCCTACTTGTCGTAGGCCTCCCAATCTCTGTAAACGGCTTCATTTCAGCAGCATATTTCTTGAACAAGGAGATTACATGCTCATATGCTTTCACACTGCTGTCCTCCATGCGCACAAGCTCCATCGCATGCATATACATATTGAAATGCCTGTAACTAAATGGGTTTTGTTGAGCATGGTCCCTCAGCTAGTACCTGTGTCAGGTTAGGCGGGAGGATATCCCGTGCATCTCTGGTCCATCTTTTTACTATATGCTTCTTTGGGATTTCTGTACCTGTATCGAATTAGTCTGCATTCATCAAATGATTCAAGAGCAATCATGAACAATTTTCACATAAATCTTAATTGCATAATTAACAGTTCAGGACTACCTTCAGTACATGGCTGCATAGCAACCCCATGTGGGCAAACTGCCTGCATTCACATTCAAATTCGCAACATATGTTTTACCTGTTTCGATCTCCTCCATCTGGTATGCACCACACTCTTATAGTATATGGCCAAATTGCCCAAACATAGCTCTGGTATATATCTTGCCAGCATGTCTTTCGGTTGCCATGCTTGCTCACATAAGTGGCCTGCCCTGCAAAATCAACAATTTGATGTCGTCAGACAATTACTTTTCATTATTTAGAAAAAAACTTTTCCTTTTTTCTAGTAAGTATCTTGTAATTTTTGTTCGGTTTTCCTTATAATTTTCCTCAGACTCCCTATCAAACAGCAGTCTCATGTACTTCCTCACAAACACATGCATGGGACAGCCAGGAGACACAAATTTTTTCAGCATATGGTCAGCGCTCTCACTCCACTGCGTACTGGTCATCTTAGCACAAAACACACCTGTGAAGTAAGACTTCGTCCACTTGTGCCGTATCTCATACAATTGTGTCATGTATGCATTGTTCTTTAGTTTGTATTTCTCTACAAGGAACTTCCAAGCCTTCTCAAACGCATCTATGGTGAGCATATGATTAACAACCTTGTGAAACTTAGCACAGAAGTCGATCTTCTTAGAGTACACAACATGCTGGGGATACCATTAATCGATAAAGCTAAATTACAGTCGACTGGACGTTAAGAATAGATCCGCACGATTCGCTATTTCCCGTTTTTCTCTCGATCCACTTCTCCCGCGACCGAAGTTCCCGTTTTTCTCTCGATCCACTTCTCCCGCGACCGAAGTTCCCGTTTTTTCCTCTCGATCAACTTCCCGCATTTTTCTAGCACAGTAAAAATTTGGAGGAAGCGGGAGTCAAACCCCACACCTCCTGGTTGATAACCGAGGTAGGTAACCACATGGTTTACAATTCGCTTGTGTTTATAGTTAGGTCATTAGTCTTTTGTACATGTCTGTAACGTGAGGTGAAAAATAAACCTTTTTCTTTCTTTTCCTTTTTTACACTATTTTTTCTTACCATTTTGGCATTTTTTTCTTGTCCTTTTCTAGTCCGTTGACTTATCTACTCTATTAGTATGATTATATGCATAACATGTTTCGATCCTTGTTCCTCTTATGAGGTAACTCTACTGGCCAACCACCTCACGTACGTTCCCTTTTCTTGAACGAAGAAAGTAAATAGGCTATTTAACATGTCTCCTCTTCTAGGTTTGCACAAAAGTTACTGCAATGTCCGATCTTTTCCGCACTTAAGTAGATTATTTTTACCAACTAGTCTCAAGTTGATGACACTGAGGTAATTTTGGCGAGATGGAGGGGTGTGATGAAATACATCGTCGATTTTTTTGTGTGTGTATAGCATGGTAACTCATACATCATAGACCTGATAATTTATGTACCCCAGTCCTGAAAACTTTGGCGATTGGAGGGGGGAGTTGATGAAATATCCCCTGGTAAGCTTATTGGAATAGCATGGTAACTCACACATCATAGACCTGATAACTTATTGTACCCCGTTATGAAAAAAGTCTATTTTACTACCCTGAATAAAGTGGGATCTATTTTTCGGCTTTTTTTACCCCCCAAACAAACCCAAACCGGAAAAAACACCCCCCTGGCTAGTTTTTCTCCTCCCTCTGTTGATGTGGCACTAGTAAAATGGACTTCTTTCCCCCGGTAACATTGCAAACCTTGTAAGTGATGTGACACGGTCCTGATAACTTTTGGCTAGGGGAAATATACCCATGGTAACTTTTATGTTAATAACACGGTAACTCACACGTCGCAGACCTGATAACTTAAGTACCCCCGGCGTTGGTAACTTTGGTGACCGGGAGCGGGGGGTGATGAAATATCCTCCTGGTAACTTTTGCGTGAATAGCATGATAACTCACACATCGCATACCTGATAACTTATGTACCCCAGTCCTGGTAACCTTTGGCGATGGTGGTGGGGGAGGGTTGTTGGTGAAATATACCCCCTCCCCCGATAGTTTTTGTGTGAATAGCATGGTAAATCACATATCGCAGACCTGATAACTTAGGTACAAACACCCCGGTAACTTTAGAC